GTTGCCTACTATTCAGTATTCAAGTTGAGGTAACCATATAATCTAGTGAGGTTCCTTTAGTGTGTATATATATATATATTTATGGACTATTAGTTATTGTTGAATTAATTAGGATGTATATGAGTTCTGAGTCTCTGTTTGGGATGTAATAGATTAGAACTTGTTTGTGGGCCTAACCCACCATTATTTTTTTAGGTGTTCGTCAGTTCCAGACTTAGGGATTGTTCATGCTGAGTAGAGACGGTTTGCTCACTCTTCTAACTCTAAGTAAGATTTCCTTCTTTATGTTTTAGTTGGATATTATTTATATTTTAGTTGGATTTTGGATTAAGGGTCCATATGATGGATTCCCAAGCTATAATTTTAATTAATTACTGGTATGAGAGGATTTAGTTAGTGGAGGATTATTATTGAATTAATTAATGGGGTTTTGTTATTTAGTATTCTTTCCGCTTTTATTCTTTATTCTTAATTCATTTTGTATTCCATGCTTGTTAAATTACCTAATTGTTTTGATATCCTTTAGTTCTGTGCTATGACTTAATCAACCGTGACTCTAGAATTGAGAGGTATCACAGTTTTCACCACTTCTATAAAGATATGATTCTTAATTATTTACAAATACCTTATAATTTATTTGCCGCTTACTATAGATCCAAACCAGGATCACTGCAATATTTGCTTAGTCTAGCATATGTTATATTAAAGTTAACCATATACAAAACCTGTGTTCCCAAGGGTATGTGGAATTCCTTTTATCTAATATTGCTCTAGGTATTTCTCAACTATTGGAATATCAAATTCTCACATTTACAATAAGTGCAATTTCATCTTTATAACGTTATATGTCAAATACTTTGAAAACTCTATCTTAGTAGGTTCTTTGTAATAATCCAAGGATTTCACAAGATTCATTTTGGTGAAACTTAATGCCAATAAAAAAACTTCACCAACACTTCATCTCAAATATTTGAGACAAATTGTTTAATCTCATGTAATGCCATAACTATCATTTACATTTAACATAAAGATGAATTTTACTCCCACTGACTTTGAGAATAACTAAAGCCACACATTTATAGTTCGACATTTTAAATGGGACGGAGGTAGTAATAATCTTTTCTTTGGGCCAAAATTATCATATGTTAGTCTCCTTTTCACCTTTGAGGCTAATTAATCATAGAAACATAATAATAACTTATCTTCCTTTAAGCGTAGTGAGTCATCATCAGTTGTGTCTTCTACACTAATTACTTTAATCTGCTTAGTTGGACAAATTCAATGACCCACCTTTGGGCTTGATCATTACTCATCTCTAGTACTAAACGCCAACACAATCATTTAACTTAAACAAAATAATAATTTTGCCACTAGTTACAAATATCATTAAAATTTTCATGAGTGTGCCACTTTGGTGACTAAACACTCAATCAAATTTAATGACACTTGTGCTTAGAATTGCAAAATATGATTCAATTTTTTGAATGAATCAAGATATATATATATATATATATATATATATATATATATTATGCAACAATTTGTAACAATTTATAATATGATGCACATGCATAATTATATATATAATTTCAATAACATGTATAATTTCATAAACTTATATGCTATGAAACTTTAAATTAATCATTGAATATGCTATGTATATCATCAAAGATATAAAAAATTCAACTAGCGATGATAACTTAAGAAAAATGACATTTTTATGAAAATTATTAAAGCACTAAATCAGATCTTAAGCCTTAAAATTTATATATGCTATAAAATAAAGAATTTCAGGACAAAAAATAAATTATGAATCTTATGTCTGTCATGTAATTATTTCTAGTAAAATCGTGCACACTCTAATTGAATTTATTGCAAAACACCTTTAGAATACCACGTGCATAACTCTTAGTGCATAGACCACAAAGCCTACATACCGGTGCATGCAATATGCATGACTTTGTAGGTACAGAGACATGACTGTTGGTTCAAATTCAAAAAGAGATGTCTATTGGTTTAAACCCAAAAACACATGTATGTTGGTTTAAACCCAAATCAAGATGACTATTAATTTGAACTCCAAAAGTTATGACTTTTGAGAATATTTGTAACCCAAACAGAAAGCATGCAATGGTACATTCAATGGGTGGTATGTTTCAACCTACAACTGTCATAAAGAATCATACATGACTTAAATTGAAATAGGAAATATTCACGAATGAGAAATATTCATTTTATCCGATATAAACATTCAGAAACCAAAACGTAACGTTGGTGTGCCATGAATAATCAAAAATATCATTCTCCCATAAATATTAGTCCAACACATTCACGTTAAAACATTCTTTTAAATACTGGTTCATATATATCATATTTCAGTATATGTATATGCATATGCACGTATATTATATATAGCGTGATACGTGTCTGTCTTCTTAATTCTGTGTATAAACATAAAGACACAATAGTAACCGTGTCCTAATTAATAAATATCTACGTAAAATAAATTTATGCATTAGAGTCTATGTAGGCTCTGATACTACATGTAAGAAATTTTATACAAGTAAAATTTATAATTTAATATATAAATTTAATAAAGAAGAAGACATACCCAATATAAAATCTATGTTTGAAGAAAACACTGGAACGAAAACATTCTTCAATCTTGCCATATGAAAGAAAGTATTAACAACCTGGCAAGAACGAGAAGTCTTTGGTGCCCCAAATATTCGCGCGCGCGTGTGTATATATATGCACACATTGAGGCACCCTTTTAAGGAACTCTGATCCTCTTCTTATTAAGAGATTCTGTGCACAGATGCAATACCTTATGCAACACGTATATCGAAGATGCTATAGTTATGCATCATCATATGACATCATCTTGTATTATAGAATTTATTTATTTTAATTTTTTTTTTTTTGTATTATCAATTCAAAATTGCTATTTTCGTAATGTAAAGTTGTTGTTTTAGGCAAATATATAAAAATGGTACAACAGAGAATTCTGATTTTTTTCTAAGCGTATGGATGTTAATTATCCTAGTCCAACTTTAAAACATAACTACATACATGACAAGGGATATGATAATATCTTATATTTTTATATAATACGGTACATGATAAGGATACGATAATAAATTATATTTTTATATATAAAAAATATAGTTTAAAAAATTGAATCACATTTTGACCCTTTTGTATATATATATATATTTCTGATAAGTAAAGAGAGAAAATTCACCGTGAAATCTTGTTTGTGGACCCTTTTGTTTCCATTAAAAAATTAAATCTAACCAACCCACTATCTTTCCAACTATATTGCAGCTTTCATGTTGTCACAGGTCATTTTTCAAGGTCAATTACTGATAAGGAAAACGGTAGTTATATATCTCGCGCATTTTGATTTGGTCAATTTTACTGATCATGATTTTAGTTCACGGGTCCTTATATATATATATATATATATATATGAAGCTGTCCTTAGAATGAGAATTAGGTCTCTGCTTTCTTGGAAAGTTTAGAGTAGTTCCCATTCACATCTGGCTTATTTTAATTTTAAGAGTCCATATCAATTAAGTCTAATCTTATAGACCAAAAGTTATAGCATATTGGTATCTTCGCTGTCTTTCAATGAAGTTGATAAATGTTCCAATCTTTTATGGACAATTGAAAATACATGAGTTTCTTGCCAACAGAAAATAAAACAAATTTAATCTAATAATCCAGTAAAATGAATTTTGAAATGGGTGAAAAATTACATACATGGATCTTTGATTTCCCAAAAGATGAGGACAGATTTTAACGAAACGGTAATTGCATACATTCGGCGTTCCAACTAACAATTTTAGGAAAGTGTTCATGTACAAATTTGGTTCACCACATACTTGAACCAAAACTTGACAGCAAAATTGAAATAATGGTTCACGTTTTTTAATTTTTTAATTTTTTAAAGGTTATAATAGTTTTATGCTATTTCCTAAAACTATGAAAGAGGCTTCCAAGGTGCACATTATGAGATGATAATTGAAAAAGATAAATTGCCAATTTATTGGTGCAAAAGTCGCACAATTACACAAGAATAAGTCGTTTTACATCATAAAAAAAAGTCGCATAATTAAACAAGAATTAGAAATTTGTTTGTGATTTTGTTTGACAACCAACATGAAAATCAAGTTGATGGTCTATGTTAGTCACTGTATGGCTACCAAGTCTAGTCTCAATTAGGAACTTTAAACTAATCCAATTAGTCTTATAGTCGGTAATGAAACTCAATTTGGACTTCAATTTATGGTATTAAAATCTTTTTTGAAAGGTAAATTTAAATTTTATAAAAATATAACATAATTCAATATATGGTAGTCAAGCTTTGCATTAAAAAAAATTGAAACGAAACCAAAGTTGTCCAATCAAATTATATTAATATATGTATGTTTGTTTGTAGAGATTGCAATCAAATAATTAACAAGAAATGCATTAACATGTAGTTGACTTCTGATTTGTTCTTTTCCCTCTTCGCTGAAGATTATTTTTTTTGTTTTTACCCCCTCTTTTGGCACCATGTACGGAATTTCGTGGCAAAAGTGAGCTATCTTTCTTACGAAATTGATATGGATGTATCATTTCCTTCCTTTATATATATATATATATATATATATATATATATATTATGGACCATATCTCAATAAATATCAATCTTATCTCCTTATAACCAATTTTTGATCATGTAACACACTTCATTGATTATTGCAATCTTCTGACCATATTGCAAGTTTGAACATGTCCCACAAATATTACAAGTGCCACCGTCCTATACAAAACAACATCACACTCCTTCTCCAAGTCAATAATTTGTAGATGGGTGAAAAAAAAAAAAAAAAAAAAAATTGTAGATGGATGACCCATGCCTTTTATTGGTTCAAAGATCACACAGTTGACTATGATCTGCTCATTAACCACCTTCATTTTGTACACACACACACACACACACCCCATTTGAGATGTTCCTGTGGGAGTCTGAGCCCTTCAACAACATTGCATTAATGGGTTCTACTTGTTTTAGCATTAGGGCAACAAAACTCATGCCAATAGCCTTGTTCAATGCCCTTCTTGTTCTTGATCTATTAGGTCATCTTCTCAAAGACATTGTTTTGATGGTACTCTCTTGCATTCCTCTTCTAAATAGAGCATCATCCGATAAACACACCATTAATGACTCTGCTGCAGAATATCGTCCCTCTCCTTTGCTTGTACCCGTCCCTGTCCACTGCATGACCGGAGCCATCAAGGATCGAGTCCCGGTACTTGACTATAGTTGTGTTCTCGAAAGGTTAGGAGGATGTAAAGTTAATCCACTTTGCGTCGTGTGCTTAAAGCGCATGAAGGTTGGTGATGAGGTTAGAGAGCTCTACAATTGTTGTCATGTGTTTCATAGAGAGTGTGTTGACACTTGGATCGATGAAGGTCAAGTAACTTGCCCTCTGTGTAGAGCCAAACTGTTGCCAAATCAAGGAGAGGATGAAATGAAGTATGGAGGAGATCCATGGAGAAGAGAGAGGATGATTTACCTAAAGGCTAAATAGTGTTGAACAGAGGAGAATGAATTTGGCCACATAGGCTTGACATTCCATTATAGAATATATATAATAGAGTACAACACGAGGTTCAACTCATGAACAACTTCCTAAACTGACTCCTACAATTACGACAGAGCTGGAAACCAAAAGACCAAGTCAAAGTAGATACAATTCAAATTACAACAGAATATACAATCTTATCTATCATGCCCCCTCAAGATGGAGCTCGGTCAAAGAGGTCAATCTTGGTTTTTAGAGACAGGAACCGAGACCTGGGGAGTGGTTTGGTAAGTGCATCTGCAAGTTGGTCTGCACTAGAAACATGAGCAACACGTAAAGTGCCATTTTGAACTTGATCACGGATAAAATGGAAGTCAATAACAATATGTTTCATCCTTGAATGAAAAACGGGATTTGAGCACAGGTGAGTTGCCCCAACATTGTCACAATAAATCACAGGTGAGTGAGACAGAATAACACCAAGTTCAGTCAATAGAGAACACACCTAGTGAGTTCAGCAGCAGTAGTAGCAATGGGCCTGTATTCAGCCTCGGTGGAGGATCTAGAAACCGTGCGTTTCTTCTTTGAACTCCAATATATTGGATTGCGGCCAAGATAAACAACATATGCACTTGTAGAAGAAAAATCATCCTTGTTACAAGCCTAATCATCATCGGAAAAGGCATGTAATGATAGAAGGGAATCACGGTAAAACTGAATGCCTACATTAGTCGAACCATAAAGATAACGTAAGAGGTGTTTTACAAAAACCTAATGGTTGGTAGTTGGCCGATGCATGAATTGAGAGAGCTTATTGACCGCGAAAGCTATATCAGGACATGTGATTAATAGGTACTATAAACTTCCAACACTGGTTCTATACTTGGTAGGATCCGAGAGAGTAGAACCCAAATGCAATGTAAGATGGGGACTTGTAGGTAGAGGAGTGAGTACCGGGGTAGCATCCATCATTTTTGTTCGAGCAAAAAGATCCATAATATATCATCGTTGGGATAGCAATATACCACGGGCATTTGGAATAACCTCCTGTGGAGGGAAAAATCTCCCTCCAATGAGAATAATCCACGTCATCATAAATATAAACTTATTCTTGATGAGTTTATGAAGCCCACCTCGCTCAAACCCAAATTGAGTTTAAGGCAAGTCCAAGATCACTGTTCACAAGCCCAATACTATTATTATTTGACCTTCAGCCCTGTTGAAGCCCGAATCAAGAGATTATCAGCCCAACATGTTAACATTAAATATCCGGCCTATTATTCAAGCCCAACTGGTTCAAGGTATATTCAGCCCAATTTTACATGATTGAACAAATCATATCGGTAGAAGGATTTATCATAAAAGGAGAATTCTTTGACAGGAAGTTCTATACAAGGCAAGTTCTGCGCAGGAAATATTATACAATAGAAAGAACTCTATTTATAAAGAAAGTCATGTATGGGAAGAATTGGAAGATAAGCAACGCGAGTCCTATCTTAATTCTACCAATTTTTATGTATAAATAGAGGCCCAGACCTCCAATAAAATGATCCAAGCAATTCTATGCTTCTCTATACACTGTTCTTATTTATTTTTACTATTTTTGAGTGTGTTGTATTATTTTTCTCAATCATTATTAGTTGAGCAAAATTTTACACCTATACTTTGGCGCCGTCTGTGGGAAACGTGTGCAAATATATTCCCACTCTTATGTCAAATGAATCCTGCAACTACCATCCGGAATGTCGAACGGAGGATCTTCAACAGATTAATAGACGGAGTTAATGCAGAAGATGTGTGAAGAGTTTCTACACCAGTTTGACGTACTTCGTCAAGCAAACAAAGCTAGCGTGGCTCAGATCGCCTTGCTTCAACAGCAGAATAACACTCTGCAAACGGTGATGGCTCAGTTGGCACCACCGCCACCACCAGGTGATACGGTAGCACCCCCTAATCAGAATATTCCTCCAGTTAACGGGCTTCCACCTAATGAGGCACGACCCAACGAGGCTCAGCCAAACGAGGTTCAACAACAGCAGAGGGCAAGGTCTGAGGCTGTCACTTCAGACAACATCCCTCGTCGCACGCAGGACAAGCAAGCCAAGTCTAGCTATAAGCTCACGGTATGGTCCAATGGAATTCCAGATGATGTAGGTGTTCAGGATGCCTTTGATGAGAAAAGACTCCTGAAGATTCAGACACCCGCTGAGATGGCCAGAGAGCATAAAAACTCCCTGGTGAAAACTCCTTTCACTGATGATATGTATATGGTTGAGAGGCCTAAGAAATTTACCATGCCTTTTTTTACTCAGTTTGATAGTACGAGAGATTCTTCTCGGCACCTGGATCATTACGCCCAAAAGATGGCTTTAGATGACCGTAATGACCCTTGGATGTGTAGAGTTTTTCCTACCAGTTTGACAGGAGTAGCACTAGAGTGGTTCAGGAATAGGCCACACAAGTCCATCCTGGATTACGTAACTCTGTGCACCATGTTCCTAGCATAATACTACGAAAATAAGAAGCAAAAGAAGAGTATTGCTAGCCTATTCACCGTAAGCCAAAAGAAAGGGGAAACACTGCAGGATTTTTTATCTAGATTCAACATGGAAGCCTCGAAAATAGCAGACTGTCATCCCGCGACTGCTATAGAAACATTTAAAGGTGCAATGATTCAGGGGACGAAGTTTCATACTTCCTTGGTCAAATATTCTCCTCCCGACATGCAGACTCTTAATGCTAGGGCCCAGATCTACACCGAGCGCAGCACGTCACCCTCATGACAGTGGAAAACAAGCCTCGAAAGAGAATTCCAAATTCAAAAATTCATAAAAGCCAACGCGCCTCAACGCCGATCACCCAGGCACCCGAGAAGAGGTAAATGATAGAAGAAGGGTTTACACCTCTCTGAATTACCTTGGCTCGGCTCTTCCAAGAGAATAAAATAAGGTTCACAGCCCCGCAGCCAATGAAGCAACCCTTGGAGCAGAAGGACAAAAGCAAACATTGCGCTTATCATTGAGATTATGGGCATTCAACCAATGATTGCAGATCCCTTAGGCGACAAGTGGAAAATATGATAGCCAGAGGTGAGTTGGCAGATTACCTCATAACGAAAGAGTATGTGAAGCCCCGCGAGGTCTATCCTCACAAGGTAGAAGGTACTCAAGTAAAGGTCATTCATGCAATACATGGCAGATCTGAAGATGATCAGGAGTCCGAAGAGGTATACAGATCCAGATTAAGGGCAGCCCATAAGCTCAGGAAGATATCCTTGGTTAATGCTATCGCTTCGGGTAACATCTGTATTGGATTCGGCGATGGCAACCTATCCAGAGTTCAACTCCCCCACGAGGATCCATTGGTCATCAATCTTTTAGTGGCAAATTGCATGATCAAGAAGGTTTTGATAGACCTAGGGAGTAGCACCAACATCATCACAAAGGTGGTCTTTGAGCAGCTAGAGATCCCGTTATCATCTATTCGACCTACCTCCAGCCCATTGATGGGGTTTGATGGCACAAAAGTAGATCCCCTTGGGGTAATAGACTTATCTGTAACTGCGGCGAAGAGGACTCTGAAGGAGAACTTTGTCTTAACAGAGATCAATCCTTCCTATAATCTCATCATGGGAAGAGGCTGGATACATAGGATGAAAGGAGTTTCGTCCACCCTTTATCAGGTAATGTGGTGCTTATCTCCGGACGGAAAAGAAGTTACTAACCTATGGGCCGATCAAGTCGCTGCGAAGGAATGCTATATGCTGACACAGGCTGAAGCAAAGAAGGTGTCTAGACAGCCTCAACCAGGCGTGACTCCCAAAAATATACTCAAATAGCAATTACAGAGCCTTCTACCTAAGTATCTTAAGGTAGAGAAGGAAGAAGAAGTTGCGAAGCCTACTAAGGAGATCCTTGAAGCCATAAAAGTTATCCTCGGCAACCCCCAGAAGGTCATTTATTTAGGCTCTTCTTCCACATCCGAAGAAAATAAAGCATTAATTGATGTCATTCGGAGTAATGCAGATACTTTTGCCTGGGATCATTCGGACATGATAGGGATCGACCTTTTAGTCTCCTGCCATAGCCTGAAGATGGATTCGGAGTTCAAACTAGTTAAGCAGAAACACCAAAGGTTCGCCCCTGAATGCAATCACATTATAGCTGAAGAAGTAAACAAGCTGTTGCAAGCAGGTTTCATCTGAGAGATGCAATATCCACAATGGTTATCAAACGTGGTGGTCGTATAAAAGAAGAATAAAAAGTAGAGGGTTTGTATAGACTATACCGACTTTAACAAAGCTTGCCCTAAAGATAGTTTCCCTCTGCCAAAGATAGATCAGATGGTTGATGCTACTACTGGCTACGAGAGGCTGACATTCCTCGATGCGTACTCAGGATACAATCAGATTCCTATAAATCCAGAAGATGAAAAGAAAATTGCTTTCATTACAGAAAAAGGGACTTATTCTTACAGGGTCATGCCATTCGGGCTGAAGAACGCCTGGGCCACTTATCAACGTCTTGTTAACAAGATCTTCGACAATTTGTTAGGGAAGACAGTTGAAGCATACATAGATGACATGGTGGTCAAAAGTGTGAAAAAGGAAGACCATCCGAAGCACCTCCAGGAAGTTTTCAATACTCTAAAGAAGTACAACATGAAGCTGAATCCTTCCAAGTGCTCCTTTGTAGTATCATCAGGTCAATTCCTCGGCTATATAGTGAATAAAAGAGGGATAGAGGTAAGCCCGGCTCAGGCTAAGGCCCTCATGCAGAATCAGGAACTAAAAAATCGTAGGGAGGTGTAAGTTCTTACTGGTCGGATCGCAACTCTCAGCCGGTTTATATCTCGATTATCAGATAAGTGCAAACCATTCTTCGATGCAATAAGATCTAAGAATAAGGATATATAGGGACCTCAACAGCAAGTGGCCCTCAACCAGTTGAAACGATATATGGCCGAACCTCCAATTCTGTCCGCTCCCAAACCTAGAGAAGTTCTTA